GAAAAGAGAACATCCATGTTTTTCTCACCCTTGGAAATTTAAAGATGGGGGGCCTTCACCCCCAAAAATCCCCAAGCCGGAGGGGCGGGGGGGGGAATTCTGGGAGTTGAAGTCCACCCATCTTAAAGTTGCTAAGGTTGAGAAACACTGGTAGCTTCTCTTCCCCAATCATCCCTCCTGTCTTTGGGCATCAGTAACATTTGCTCCAGAAAAAAAATGCCTAATATTGCATTTACAAGACTCCGGAGCATACAGTGAAGAATTGGTGGACATCCACTTGTGGTGGCCGGTATGCACAGGCATGCCTCTACGAAAGGACCGAGGATTCCCTTCTTGCAAAATTCCAAGATGCCAGATGTGTTCGGTGTTTTGTTTTTTTTCAAAAATATCACCCGGCACTCTGTTTTGTTTCATTCTTGTCTCTTTTGACTGAACCCCCAATGAAACCAAGGGCCCCCCCAGAGGAATACCAGCAAAGGCCTGGGGCGTGGATGGGAAAGGGAGGGAGTTAATTTCTCTCCCCCCCCCCCCAGCAAATAAGGCGTTAAGTTTTTCCAAACCAGCAACTCCATTTTAGTTTAGCCTAGGGAAGAGTTGTTGTTTTCTGTTTGCCTTATGCTACCATTTCAAGGCGGGTCCCTCTCTCACACACGCACACGCACACGCACGCACACTTTCAGCCGCAGCAAAATTGGGGCTCCATCTTCGCTGTCGTAAATCACCCCGTTCTGGGGGCAGAGATTTCTCTCGTCTTTCTACTCCGGTCAAAACTGCCCCGAGTCACCCCACAGTGAGATGGGCAGTGACAAATTTGAAATATAAATAAAAATAAAATAAGGAACTACCGTGTGTAAAGGGATGGCTCCATATAAATAGATGGGTGGGGAAGTGAGGTAATGGAGTGCAATAAAAGGGAATCCGACTCTCGATGGGGATTCGTACATTTACGACGGTCATCTTATTTACAGCTGCCTTTTCTAGGCTGATAGGCCAGGGCAAACGGTGCAAAACTGGTCGTTCGAGGGCTTCCCAGTTTCAAAGACTGTCACCACGCCATAGATAGTATTGGAACAGAAGGGGAAATGATTCCGTTACAGCTGTGCAACGTTTTGGAAATAATTCGGAAAAGTTGCTTGGGAGCACAAATTTCTGGGATCGCGGAGCTACCCTCCGCAGCGGCGACAGGATGCCGGGAAAAGATGCAGTTGCTTTAAAGAGTTGCTTCGTTTGTACATCCCTCAGCAACAAAGAACGTACCTTTTGGGAACGTACGCAGAAGCGTTTGCATGGCCCTGCGTTAAAAACGTGGGAACATCATATGAACTGCATTGAATTAATGGCTTGTTAAGTGACAGGACATTTAATCAAATTCCCATTCCCTTGGAATACAGCCTCTGGGTGCTGTTCAGAGGCCTGGTTGCAGCCCCCATCCCCAAATCAGTTACAGGCAGGGAAGGACAAAAGCTGAAAGACGTGCGGAAGACACCTCTTTTGGGAAACGTGGGGATGTGTAGAGAGCCGGAAGGGTGGGGAAGTCATCTCATCCTCAGGCAACTAAGGGGAATTGTATAATCCGTGTCCTCTGCACAATGACATCCACCACACGGCTGCTAGCAGATGTCTGTGCTGGGAAGGCCACTCCGCGGGGTAGGATATACGTTCCCTGAATGCCCTTAGGAGCAAAAGAGGTAATTTATCTATTGCCTATGCAGAAGTGGATCACGGGAGGCCTCAGAGGTTTGTGGACTGCATCTCCCATCATCCTGTGCCATTAGTTTTCTGACTACAGCAGATGAAAATTAGAGATCGTATGTGGCCTTTTGCTATTCCATAGGATAGGTTTCCCTAAACTCTCTATCTAAAATAGTGTTGCGGATTGTCTACGTCATTGTTTCTCAACCTTGGGAACTTTAAGATGTGTGGACTGGGGAATTCTGGGAGTTGAAGTCTGGCTAGCTGGGGAATTCTGGGAGTTGAAGTCCACACATCTTAAAGTTCCCAAGGTTGAGAAACGCTGGTCTACATTCTTCAAAAGAGAAGAAGAAAAAGAACAAGAACCTTTTACTGAAGTCTTGCATGGAATGGACTACTGTGCTGACCACGACTCGTTTTTTAAAAACAGACGTGCAAACCAGGATCGGGAGGGGGGAAATACACAAAGGCAGAGGGAAACACAAGTTGAAGCTTTTATTCCATAACATGCCTGGATAATTATTTGTTTTTTTATGTGTTTATTCTTCTTAATTGTTGTATGCCACTCAGAGTCCCTTTTATGTAAGATGGGCGGCTATATAAATACAATAAATAAATTAAAAAAACACACAGGGTCTGTGCAGTGGGATTTAAACTGTTAGGAATCAGAGGGGTCGAGGGGTGCTTCACCAGCGTCCCTTTTAGAGAAATCGATCTGCAAACCCTTTCTATAGCAATCATTTCCCCCTTTTCGGAGAGGAAAAGATAGCACAGATATAATAGCCCACAATTTAAAAGTTAAATTTCTTGCATTCATTTTGGCGCAGTTCTGTTTTCTTGCAGAAATCATTTATTCCTGCTGTCTCTTGTTTTGATATGGGAGTTAGGTTATTATTCGGGCGGATAATAAACAGAAGATTCACTATTTCTGACCACACTCTGTGGAAAATGGCATTTCTGTGTCCAATCCCTGCCCCCCCATTTCAAGATAGCTTCATACATCATGCTTCGTCAGAAAAGACCTAACCAAGGTTTATAGGTGACCTGGTTAAGCATGGAACCTAGTCCTGGGTCATCCTTTTTGCTACGGATTAGTGCTGGCCAGCCTTACAAGGCATAACATTGGGGCTGGGGGTGGGGGGAGAAAAAGATGAAGAAGGAAAATTAATTCTTTCTAAGATTGGCCTGCAGTGAAAAAGTTTGCTTAAAACCAGAGAGTGAAAAATTTCCAATGGCTAAAAATGGAACAACCGTACAAAAATCCTAGATTTAATATTCCTAGATTTAATGCATTAGAGGAGATTTAGGGTTAATTTAGAGTCTCCCAATTAAAACACAGAGAGAAGGAAATTTGAATTTTTTCTCCCCGGTTAGTACATCCACACATTTAATTCAATAAATGCAGAGCCTCCATTTGAGAAGGAGGAACAAGCTTTCTCTTCCAATTTTCACAATTTGTCTTCTACACATCACAAATCTTTTTGTCTAAAATAGCCTTTGGGTGGTAGCCTTGAATCTTTCCTACCTCCTTAAATAAGTAGCTTGTTACTCACAATACTCTCCCCCTCCCTGGCCTGGCACAGAGACATCACCAACAATAATTCAAGAGAAGGACATTGTGTTTTTCTACTATCAGCTCAGAGCAAACTTTCTAAAAAAGAAGACAAGAGGATGTGTACAAGTCTCCCCCCACATATTTTGGGTTTTGCTAGATGCCCTTTTTTTCCAACTTCTGACACATTGAATGAATTATATATATATAATTATATATATATATATAATTAATTGAAGGAGGAGAACATTCATGTCAGCCAAAAGTACAGGACATTTCCAGCTGTAATCTGGAAGTGCACTGAAGAAGAAAGAATTTTTCTGTACAAGTGAACACTTGAAGATGGAGATATATGTCAAATAGGATTCTCTCGGGGGATGTTGGGGCATGAACAGTAAAAGAGGACACCTAGCATTTGAATGCCTTCCCTTAAGCAAAAAAACCCAAAAAACCCACACCATTTTCAGATCTAAAATTAAAACATTCCTGTCCCCCCCTTCCTTAATTTGTAGACAGACAGATTGTGTGTGTGCATGTGTGTGCGTGCATGTGCGTGGTTAGGCAGTTCTATTCCTTTCCACCCCCTCCCTAAGGAACTCCTCTCCCTATACCCACAGATGTAAAGGGGCTTTCCAAACTTTTTTTTAAAAAAAACCCTTGCAACACACACACACACACCTTGGAGACAGCTTATAATTTAGAAAGAAGGGAGAACTCAGATCTGGAGGAAGGGTGAGGAAGGATTAAATTAATCCCTAGAGGCATTTTTTAAAAAAAGATAACCAACGAATTAGCAATGGAAGGGAGGACGATTGAGAGGAAAAGGGGGGAGCCCAACTCTGAAAGAAAGTTGGTGGCGGAGAGAGGATTGGTTTCTTTTCCGCTTTTAAAATGGAACAGCTACGGTTCAGCGCCGGTTCCTTTCTTTAAAAAAAGATTTACTCCTATTATTATTACTGCGGTTACTGGTATTATTATTACTCCACAGTGACATGTGCCAATGTTGGAGCCCGAACTGTACGGTTAGAACAGCCTTGAAAGAAAGGAGGAATCGCTCCCCGTATTAAACCCAAACTAACGATCTTTGCGTTTCGTTTTCAGGTGGGTAATGTGGACGACGGGGGGGCGGGTATTTAGGAAACCAGAGCTCGCCCCCGCCTGGCATCTTCCCGGGGGACCCCTCCCGTCCGATCGCCTCCACGCGCCCGCTGCTCCCGAGCCCCCTCCCCGCTTTCCGCCCGCCCTGCTCCCATCCCTCGGATGCCCCGCCGTCTGCCACCACCTTCGTCCTC